AATAAAACTCCCATGTTATCCCCCATCACCCAACTCTCCGACCACATTTTCCATTATATCTTTAGCTATGTGCACAGTTCTCTTAATTTCTTTATAATATTTGTATTGACTTTATCTATTTTTACCCAAGGTGTCAGCCACTCATGTGGAATTCTGGAAAAGGGATGGTCAATCAATCTATACCCACATATCACTACCCCTCACCTCCCCCCCAATATATAAGCTAATTATTTTGTAATTGTTCAACAATTTGCTGTACAAATATAAATAATAAATCAATAAAAATAAAACAGAAAATAACATCTGTCTCTACTGAGCCTTTATTTTTGGTATTTTGCAGACCTGGAATTTCCCATGGGCAGCAAGTGGCCCAAAAATGTTCTCTATTAAAGAAAAGTTCATGGAAATTGGACATCAGAAAGAGCTCCTTCAGATGAAGGGTCCCCAGCTCAATCACACACACACACACACACACACACAAATATAAGCTGCGCTCTATAATGTCTATATACTTGTTTATGATTTGGTGAGTACTAGGCTTGTGCAATCCTGTCTTTCGTGTCCTGGCTTTCAGTGGAGACTCTAATCTGTTTTTTGGGAGCCTCCAAAATACAGGAGGGCGAATATCTGTTTTCTCTCTGGGGATGCAAAGAGATCCATTTTCTATCAGCCCATTATGGGAGGGGGGAGTTTCCAGGTTCCCCTTCCCAACATTTTAGGCATTTAAGCTGTTTGTTTCTACTCTAGAGGAGAGATGCTCGGCTGCAGGCAGGTGCACACTTTAAGGAGGCTTCTTGTTTAAAGTTGTTTTTCTACTCTAAAGGAAAGGCACTCGACTGCAGGCAGTCATGTGCTTTAAAAAGGCTTCTTGTTCTTAAAGCTGTTTTTTCTTACTCTAGAGGAGGGGTGCTCAGCTGCAGGAGAGACAGGCACATGTAGTTTCTCTCAACAGCACCAGCACGCCATGCAGCTTTCCAAGAGGCATTTTAAGGAGTAGAGTTCTCCTTTCGGGATTATCTTAAAAATCCTCTATTTTCAGTGCCTGCAATCTCCTTTCTGCTTGCCATTGGTTTTTCCTGTAGTTTACAAGATATACTTAAATCGTTCCTGAGGGTCATTAGAGGATAGGTTAGGCTTCTCTTTTTGTTTGCTGGGATTGTTATTATATGTTTTTGTTCAGTGAGAACCCTTACCATTATGGGCTCCCAAAGTACCAAAGATACCGAAAGAAATGGAGGAAATGGAGGAAATGAATTCTTCGCACAACTTTAGAGAGTACATCTCCAGTTGCTGGTTTTAAATTAAACCTAGGTCTGGGTAGAGGTACTACGGTGCTATTGCCTGGAAACCAATGGGGCATGGCCAAACAGGCCTACCCTGCAAAATAAAATAAAAAATCCCATTGCGGCTTCACACCCAAAGTGTGCCAAAGCAGCTGGGTTTTCTTTACACCTCTAACTCCTGATTTTAAAAAAGAAATGTAGATCAGCACAACATGTTGCAGCCTGTAACCAAGTCGACAGTGATATCATGGGAAGGCTGCATTAAGATGAACATAAAACAAACAGCCAACATCACAAAGTGATGGCAACATAAACATCTAATCTGAAATCAAAGAGAAGCTTAGAAATCAGGGGAAGAACAATGTTTCAGGATATTCTGGGCAAGTCAAGATGCAGACAATCTTGTGCAATCCATCTGTCAGCTTGCTGGCTTCAAAGACAAGCAGGATTATATTTTAATTCCAGATGGTGGCACCGAGTTCATAAAGAAAATCTACTTTGTTTCTTTCACAAACTATTTGGTTGTTTCCCTGCTCAAGTTCAAGTCCTTGAGATTGCAGCAGTTTTGCCTCCTAATAGGGATGCTAATTGTGTGACTCCTTGAAGTCCTTTCTCTGTCCTCATTAGCACCTCTTCATATTGGGAAATGTTGGAGCTGTTATAAATTGGGAAACTCTAAGGGTTAATCATACGGCTGCTGGTCATGAAAAGTGAGGCAGCATGATCAGAAAATCACACACCTAAAAACACTGTCAACACAACATGCTGCAATTTCCATCCCAAAGCAAGGTTCAACAGTTGTACTATCATTAAGAGTGATACATAGCAGGCTTAGCATCTTCGGTATTGACCATTTTTCTAAGATCAATATTATCCTGTAGTTTACAAGATATACTTAAATCGTTCCTGAGGGTCATAACTGCCAACTGGGTGATGAATTTCAAGGAATCTTTCCTGACACTTCTCGTACCATAGACAACCAGTGGTCATGTGGGTCAGAGATGAAGTTATGCCTGGCAGCCTGGGAAAATAATTGCCTAAGGAGGTGGTGGGTACCTTCTTGTAGAACTTCAGAAAAAATACTTAAACGTGCATAATCAGACATAAGGTATGAAGAGGATTCTAACCTATGCCTTAATCACTTGCTGTTATGTAGTAGAAAAAAGCACACACTCTCACAGATGGAAAAATAAGGACATTTGTTACCATGCTAGGTTTGTCACAAAGAATAAAAGATCAAACTACAGATCTGTATAGATCAGGCTTCCTCAAGTCAGGGCTACACAGCACCCTAGGGTCTGCTGAGGCCCCTTCTACACTGCCATATAATCCAGATTACCTTCTTATTTATTTATTCATTCATTCATTTATTTCAGACTTTTATATCCCGTCCTATCTCAACCTCCGCAGAGGTTGAATTGGATTATATTTGAATTGGATTATATAGCAGCATAGATTTATATAATTCAGTTCAAATCAGATAATCTGGTTTATCTGCTTTGATAATCTGAAATATTTGGCAGTGTAGAAGGGGACTATGATGTCTCTGACATTCCACAAGCAACTGTGATTGAAAAATAAGCTTCTTTTTAGCCATAATACTTTTTAGTTGTTTAGTTGTATAATAATTTTTAGTTGTTTGCATGTTTGACCACAATTGGAAACCCCACTCAATTCCCCACTCAGTCATGGAATCCCACTGGGTGAGTCCCTCAGCCCCCCAAAAACTTCATGATAGGTTTACCTTAGGGTCAACATAAATTGGAAATGAGTTGAAGACAAATAATAGTAATTTTTATGGAGGGTTCCCTGAGACCTGAAAATGATTTCAAGTGTTCCTTCGGGGTAAAAAGACTAAGAAAGATTGATACAGATTCTATTGCAAGGGAAACTTCCAATTTTCAAAAACCAAAGCGGTCTTTGGTATTTTTCTCTCATAATTGATATAAATATATAGTTTGTCTCCACTGATTTATGGATATTTAGTTAATGTTTACATGAATTATGTACTTTTATTTTCTCAATAAAAAAATATGATTTTATGCTATATAAAGTTAATTCCACTTTGTTTGGTACTGTTCCATTATCCAGGCGGAGGCCACTAGGGGCCACTAAAGCAGAAGGATAGTCTCTCTAGTGGCCTCATTGGGGGGGAGGGGAGCTGAAGGAGGGAAACCATTGCCCCCATTTTTCTGTTTGTTCCCCCTCCATTTGTTTTCACAACAGAGATATGGGTGGGTGGGGGGAATAACAGGAAAACACGGGGAAGTGGTTTTACAACCCACCCTCTTCTCCATAAAATGGACTATGCTTCTCTCTCTGGCGCTCCCTAGTGGCCTCCTCCCCATAACGGAACAGTACCCTTTGTTTTTCCACGGATATAATTTTAAACCAATTCAGTCACCCAAACAAGAAAAGAAAGCCTGATAATATATCCTCAACATATTCTTAACAGATACCAGTGAACAAAAAAACAATGGTTGGAAAACCGAACAAGAAGAGAGGAATTTGAGCTTTGCTTATTGACTATTCACAGTTCACATGTATAACAATCCTAGCAGCATCCTGCAGTTGCTGTGACTGAGAGAGATTGTATTATTTGGCTTTTTTGCTAGTTGACATGTAACAAGGTTTTTGAAAGTGCGTGATTGCAGTCGTGTTTACTGTTGTTGCACTGCTGTGACCAGTCAAATATAACCATATTTCCTAACTGTTTCCCAGTCTAGTCTCACCCTTCATTACTTTAATATATTTGTGTGAGTTTGTCTGAGTTTCTTTATGTTTTTAGTAGTAAGCAAAAACATTTCCTTTCTATCCTTTCCAACCTCATTTTGGCCCTGCTTTTTTTTTTTTGTCAGTTCCAACTGAGATCACATAGGAACTGATTCAAAGAGAGTGGGATACAAGTGAATAGTACTATAATTGTCTTTCAATGATCCAAGGCCCCTATTACACTGCCAGATATTCCAGATTATCAGCTTTGAACTGGATTATGAGTCTACATTGCCAGATAATTCAGTTCAAAGCTGATAATCTAGATTTTATATGGGAGTGTAGAAAGGAATACTTTTTGCTACATGAAGAGCTACCAACTAGTGCCAAGAGCATACCTGACGGTCCGCTTATCCCCCTACCAACCCCAGAGATTACTCCGATCTGAAGACCAAAATCTGCTTGCAGTCCCTAACATCCAGACCTATCATTTTTCATCTACTAGGCATAGAGCCTTCTCGATCGTAGCCCCTTATTTATGGAATGCCTTGTCGGTTGGAACTCAAACCATCCAAGACTTACTTGCTTTTCAGAAAGCCTGTAAAACTTTTCTTTTCCGGCAAGCTTTTGATGGGTGAACAACCCGGGCTATGCCTGTTCTTGCTGCTTATTGTTATTGTTATGGTTATTTTTAAAACTAATTGTATTGTTTTAACTTGCTTCTGTAAACCACTCCAAGCCAAACTGGGAGTAGCGGTATACAAGTCAAATAAATACATAAATAAATAAATACATTTGAGCCAGATGAGAATTGACTATCAGGTGTGGATGACATCCAAGTCAGGAGCCTGATTCCAAGCAGGACTGACACAAAAAAAACACTGAAAAGTTGAACTGTCTTTTGGTAGACACGCAGAAATGCCTAGTGCCAAGAGCATACATTTCCCCTTATAGATATGACCACGTCAAAACAGTTGATGAAAGAAAAATAAAACTTCTACTCACTTCATGTTTTCCACTCTTCGCCCATAGAATAGGGTTACACATGGAGAGAGTATGGTGGCCATCAGTATGATCCAGCCATTGAACAAGAACATCTTGCAGTAGAAATTGAAGGTGGGACTCTGGTGGTAAAGGAAGAAGATTCCAGTCAGGAAGATCGTGAGAAGCAGCAGGATCCACTGATACTGTTCCATGATGATACTCAATGAGAGGAGAAAAGACTGAAGACCTAAAACCCCATAGAAGTCTAATTAATGGCTTACATTCTTAGTAACAGATGAAGGCAGCTGGGTATCACAGGGTGGAGAAAGGGGATGGCTTTTACATGAAGATTGCAAGCTATCAATGGGTGTTGTCTGTGGGAGGTATAGGGGTGAGTTGTTACTGTTAAGATGTTGACAGTAATATATCAGCAGAGACAGCTGTGGGAGGAAGAGCCATAGAGGTACAGTACATCCTCAATTCTTATGTCTGCTAGAAGATACTTAAGAGGAGCAGAGGTGGAATGGGTAGAGCAAAACCAGAATGAATCACCCTGAGTTTACATTAGATTGATCTCACCATAAGAGCACTAGCTGATGATAAAAGCCAAGGCCGCATTTTCAAAGCTTGGTTCGTCATCTGAAATGTTACCTCAAGTTCTAACAAAAGCAATTCTGGATCTTATGAATAGGTAGGACCTGGGATGCTCTGCTGGGTATCAGGACATCAAAAACTCTCAAATTTTGGACAAGCATTCTTCAGAACTGTTTAGAATTGTCTGGGTCCTGACCTGTAATGAGGTCCCTTAGCTCAATGTTGAGGGCACAAAAAATGGCAACAATAATAGGTTTCCGAACACCACCCATGTATACCCATTTACTTTCCGGTCCCAATTCAAGGTCCAGGTTATCACCTACAAAGTCCTGAACGGTTTGGGACCCACCTACCTTCGTGACCGCATTTCCTTCTATGAACCTGCATGATCTCTTTGATCCTCTGGGGAGGCCCTCCTCTTGCTCCCACTTCTATCACAAGCATGATAGCGGACGAGGGAGAGGGTCTTCTCTATTGTGCCCCCTTGGCTTTGGAACTCGCTACCTAGTGAGATTAGGCAAGCCCCCCACACTGGCAGCCTTTAAGAAAGGCCTAAAAACCTGGCTCTTCAGGCTTCCCTTTGACAAACAAACACATGCCCTCATACCATCTCCGTCCCAATCCAGACATGTCCTATGCACTTTCTCTCGTCCCTTAGTGAAGGTCAACCCCATTGTTCACCCCTTCTGAGTTCTCCCCTCAGACATACATTATTCCACTTACTTATCTCACCCAGGGTTTTATCAACTTTATCCTGTGCATTTGGCTCACCCACTGTGGTTTTATTCCTCCACCACTTTATTTTGCGTCTGCTTATTGTATATTTGTTATTGTTTGCATTTTACTTTGATGTTATTAATTGTCTGCTGTATTTTACGTTGCTGTATTGTAATTTTTGGGCTTGGCCTCATGTTAGTTGCCCCGAGTCCACTTTTGGGAGAGGGTGGCGGGGTATAAATGAAGATGATGATGATGATGATGATGATGATTACCAACAATGTACAGGCTTTACAGTGGCCTCTGCAGAAAATGCTTCAGCTGTACTCTACAAAAAGTAAATCAGGCTGTTTAGCAAGCCTTGCAAATGTTGATTTATTATCAGAAAATGTTTGATTTATATACCTATTTTGTTTCCTTATGTATCTGAGATGACGTAAACATTTCTCAGGTGGAAAGGGTCATGAGTGGAAAAGGTTTAAGAAACCCTGGTTTAGACCTTGGGTGGGCAAATGTATATGCGTTAGATGGGCTTCACTGTTCTACAGCCCCAAGCAGCATACTCAGGCCCCTTCTACACTGTCCCAGGTTTTCTGCTTTGAATTGGATTATATGAGTATCCACAACCCGATAATCTGGGATTGGATCCAACAATATAGGGCAGTGACAAAATAATCTAACAATGTTGAAAGCAGGGGTTAGCAACTGCACAAAAGTGGGGGCAAACATTTACCACAATTGATATCAAATCCAGTCCAATTTTTGAGGTTTGTTTGTTTTAGGAATGTTGGGTTATAAGAGATAAAATGAAGTAAAGTGTTGTATCAGTTATTGCATGTTTAGAGAGATTTTCAATTTTAAATTTATTGCATTTTAAGAGACGGAAATGAAGTACTGAGGTTTTTGAGAGTGTACCAGAAGGTTGCTGAGGCTACTGGAAGATTTCAGGGAGGATGTCCAGGCTATGTTTTCCTTACCCTTTGTCTGAAAAAGTTGTTCTTGCCTGGTATGAATTATCAATGTCCACTTTCAAGTGGGTGGAATTGGTCCAGGGCCCTAAAAATATTAACATTCCAAAGGAATATGGATCCTAGGGGTGCATCTACACTGTAGAATTAATGCAGTTTGACATCACTTTAACTGCCATGACTCAGTATTGTGGAATGATGGAAATTTTAGTTCCACATGGTCTGTAGCCTTCTCTGGAAACGAGTTCTGGTGCCTCACCAAAACACAATTCCAAAGATTCCAAAGCATTGAGCCATGACACACTCATTCAAGGCTCAATGTGATGTCAAACTGAATTAATTCTACTGTGTAAATGCACTCTAGCAGTTAAATGCTTCACAGCGATGGTGTATACATGTTTATACATAACAGTGAATATAAACAAATTATAAAAGTTTAATCTAGAAAACATCCCTCCTCCAATCTGCCCTGTAAAAATGAAAATGAGAGAAGACTTGCAAAAACTAGGTAGACTTGTTTTGGGGTTGTGTCAAATCTAGAGTCTAGATCAGAACTGGAGTGTCTGCAAGTTAACATATCATTTGTAGTTTAGATATAAGATAACCTGACACGAGACAAGGTTTGGAGACAAAGGAGGAAATAATTTTTTCCTTATTATAAATACATATTTTCAAAATATTTTTTTTAAAAAAACTATCATATTGTCATTCAACTATTATGTTTTTCAGTTCTAATGGATTTTTATATGATAGGAAAGAAAGAATATGCTTTTTTTTTGGTAGCAAGAAAAGGCGATTGGTTTTTTTTTAATGTGGTACATTGGTTATATTTTTTAATGATTTTTTAAAAAAAGGTTTAGTGATAAGAAAAAAGTACCGTATATTTCGGCATATAAGACAATTGGGCGTATGAGACGACCCCCAACTTTTCCAGTTAAAATATAGAGTTTGGGATATATTCGCCGTATAAGACTACCCCTCTTCCAACAAACACCAAATAAAAATTTAAAAAGCATGAGATTTGATTTCAATATGGTAATTTTCCAATCCGGACTGGAAGTTTCAGCAGCCGCTCTATAAGACTACTCCTGGCGTATAAGACTACTCCCGCATATAAGACTACTTCCATGCATAAGGCTACTCCAGCGTATAAGACTACTCCCATGTATAAGACTACTCCTGCGTATAAGACGACCCTTGACTTTTGAGAATATTTTCTTGGGTTAAAAAGTAGTCTTATACGCCAGAATATACGGTACTGTCCTTCCTAGTGGAGCTTTGTGGCAAGAAAGAATAGAGCAGATTTTTTGTGGTAAGGATATTTTTGGTGATGTGGTAAGTTAAGAGGATTTTTATGGTAAAAGAAAAATTGGGTTTTGGTGGTAAGAAAACATCCTTTCCCTCAGTACATCTTTGTGGTAGGAACAGTTACACCTTCTCAATGGTAACAAAAGCTGCAGGTGGAAGACAACAGTGGCCCCATCTACATGTCACCTCTTAACTTTCTCTTTTCCAGGCTAAAGCTACCCAGTTCCCTAAGCTACTTCTCATAGGGGGTGATTTCTAGGTCTACGTCATATAATGGGTTTTGTGGTACTTTGTCTACGAACTGTTTTAGAAGTGTGTGGAAAGGGAGGGGGACTTGCATCTGATGAAGTCCTAAGACCCCTAGATCAACCAACAAGAAGAAAAGCAATAATTCATTTAATTTGCAGCAGTAGGCAGGGATTTGTTTTGTGACACAAGAGATGTTGAAACTACTTATAAATAGTGTCACCAAATACCTTTAGGCATTTGACTGGAAACTGAAAGAGCTCTGTCCCATCCAACAAGGCTCTTCCAATGTTCTTGAGCCCATTTTGGTTTGCTTACATATAAGAGGGTGTTTTCACAGAAAAGCAAGACAGAGCTTCAAAAAGTTACGGTACCTTTTTGGACTATAACTCCCAGAATCTTCTTGCTGACATAGCTACTGGCCGTGCCAGCTATCTGGGGCTATCTATGAGTTGTAGTGCAAAAGGGAAGCATTTTCAAAACAGGATGAATCAGAAGTTTGTTTTTATTTATGAGGGCCAGAATTCTTTTAAATCCAATTTAAAAGAGAAACAAACATTCAATCATGATGTGTTTTTCATTAAGATCTTCCCATTACAGAAAAGCCAAACAAAAGCTGGATTCAAATCCTTTCTGAATGCATTTCTTAACACACACAAAGTAAATATTGGCTAAGAATAATTCAAATCGGCTTCCACCTCCACCAGATTTTCACAGGCAGAGTTCAAGACTGTTTTGACACTAGTTTCATCCCAAGATAATCTCTTATTGTTCATCTCTTATTTTCTAATGTTTTATCTCATCCATCTTCTCTGGAGTCTTAGCTCTTCGTGTTTACATTCTTAAATGACATCAACTCACAATTTGGGAGGGTGCTCAGGTAAAATCAGCCTCAGATAAAGCATTCTCATAAAGACCTGAATATTGTATCACACATAGAGAGAATCTGCAAGTCATTGTGATGGGATTAGTAATGGTATTAGCAGATATCTTAATTCTCAGAAGTATAACAGTTAATTAATGTGTGATTTGTTATTCTTGGGAAGAGGTGAAGTTTTATATTAAAAGCACGCTTCTATTGGTTTTTTAGCTTGATATATTGTTATTGTAAAACACCATGAGCAGATTTTTTAAAGAAACATGTTTGCCAAACTAAGAGGAGGAGGAGGAGGGTAATTACCTTAGTTTTCAACAGTATGACAATTAGGTACGAAAACTTAACTACACAAATATAAATGGGTGATATAGTAGAATCCCACTTATCCAACCTTTGCTCATCCAATGTTCTGTATTATCCAATGCAATCTGCCTCTCGTCCAGATCCACAGCTGTTTCAAGACATTGCAATGTTTTGGTGCTAAATTCGTAAATACAGTAATTATTACATAATATTGCTGTGTATTGAACTGCTTTTTCAGTCAGTTTGTTGTAAAACATGTTTTGGTGCTTAATTTGTTAAATCATAATATAA